ATCATATAGGGTATATTTGGAGTCATTAACTGACTGCTTTTTTGATATCCTGGATATTTTGTTGAAATTTTTTTCCACAAACATGCCTGATTGCTGAGTATTCAGAGTGTTTGTATTGTATGAGTAATGACTTAACTCTCCATCTATCTTGAAACCAGTACAACTCAAAGGATCTTGGCACAAAAGCGCTTGGCCGAGATGCGCTACAGTAATAAGTGAGTTAAACACCCTCGAGGATCGATAGCCATTATAAAAAGCCACTTTTGGAGCTACGTACAGCATCGGCTTCAATGTTTGTGTTCAACTTTGAAGTTCGCAAATCACGCATCTGGTAACGTATGGATAACGCCACTTGCCTTAGCACTGGACGCTTGACGTTTTGAAAATGCCTCTTAAAGGTACAATTTTATGAGAGCGTCGAACATCGAGTTAGCACGTGATTGAATTTGAAGCTTAAAGATGGCGAGCGTGTAAGTATGACTGCACACTTCGCCTATAAACTTGCATTCTACGAATGGACAGTGCAAACTATGAAAGTGATTAGTAAAAACCGAAGGATCTCGAGAGAATAGCACATGAAGATAGTTAGGTCCAGAAGAGACAGTAACAAGTACAACAAACATCTACGAGTGTAATCAGACGTTCAATGGATAGACCTCCGAGGATTTTGGGTGCTGCAAATAAAGTGTGCAGTTTACTTGGTGAATCAAGTGTTCCAAGTATCTTGTGTTTCTGACACTACAAGTAGATACATACGTATTATTAATTTTATTTTGTAGAAACGGCATCATCCTTTTATCTAAAATATAAATATCAGAAGTTTCTGGAAACTGTAATCAAACAACCGTATTGACATGCGTCAATTTGTTTAGCATCGACTCTGGTTTTTATTCAGCGTTGACTCTCGAGAGACTTACATGACGTTAGGAAGTCAAAGATTTGGTTGTTTAACGGAACCTTAATACTCGACGTTCGACGCTCTCATGGAAATGCCACTCAACATTCGCTTTGTTGAAGTATATTTTTGAGGACTCTAAACCTGCCTGTGTCTGCTGTTTATTTCGTCCGCAGTTTATATATAAAATAGTCTGGCATTCTATTCCAGTTTTTTCATCATCTCCTATGTTTGAAAATCTAATTGCTGACACAGTAAGTCAGAAGGTTTATTTCACTTTTTTTCGTTTGTTTAAATACCGAACTCACATATATTTTTTTTTACATCATAAGCAACATAGAGGACTGATATCGTGGTTAATTCTATAGAGAGATGGTATTTTCGGTTGTTGCCATTTGCTAACTGTATATATTTACCTTGGGACGGATATTTTCACAAATGTATCTTTGTTGGTATTTTGTTGAATTTAAAAGATGACCATTTGCAGAGTCCAAGACCAAAAATATGACACAAAACACATGAAAGGGGGTACAGTGGAATTGAAGGAATTTGAAATATGTTGTACATGATAGCCTCATGATATTGAAGTCCCATGAGTGCAAAGTTCGATAACGGAGAGTTTTTAAGCTATCGAAAGTCAAAGTTGAGGTATCTATGCCTGCCTTGGGCGAATGTCACTCATCAGTATTTGTTGGAAACAATTTCAGTTTCATGAATTATTTCGATAATGTACGAAAATGTTAAAAATTCCGAAAGATGGCGCCGTCTATAAATATTTCGACATAATGTGCAATCAACAAACTGATAAAGTCGCTAGGCGAATGCCACACGATCAGAAGCCTATGTATATATTTAAGCAAAGTTTTTCCTCGACTGGTCAAACATTTGACATGAAGTTTGTTTGTTTGTTTTATATTTATTTAGCATGATTGCTACAATTACATTCTTTTAAAAAAACTAAGCAATTACATAACATACAGATATTATAAAAAACAAAATTTTCATCTCTAAGAATTTCCACTGTCCATGAAATATTACTTTAATTTTCTTTTAAACATCTTTAAAGTACAAGTAGACTTTATATCATAATTTAGTTTATTAAATTCAAGTAATCCTTTCTGCAATTGCTTTGCCAGTTATATTACTATTGCAATTTTGTAAATGAAAATAAATCTGTATTTCCTCATCTATAATAATTTTGGTAATGATTATTCAATTCTATGTAGTGTTCTAAATTTTGTGGCAAAAGATGATTTTTTATTTCAAATATAAAAATAAGAACCAAATATGATATGAAATTTTTATATTTAACCTCTGCAATTCTTGTAACCTAGATTTTATTTTGGTGCATTTATTTTTGTTTAATATTATTCTCATTTATTTTGGAGGACTTGTAATTTTGAGAATACAGCTTCATTGGCAGTGAACAAGATAGTTGAACAATATAGTAAATACGGTAGAATAATTGTATTATATACTATTTTTTGGAATATGTACCAAGACTATGAGAAGCTCTATAAAAATAATTTCGTTTTTTTGTCAATTTTTGAAATAATGTATTTATTGCGATCCTCATACTTTTAATATATATATAAATATACCCAAATATTTAATTGTTTCAACATTTTAAATTATTTCACCATTTATCCTAACTGTAATAGTATTTTCATTTAGATATTTCCCTATTAGCATACATTTTGTTTTAGAAGTATTTAATTTTAGTTTATTTACATTTAACCAATTTATGATTTTTGTCAAGTCAGAATTTAACATTTTCAAAGCAGTGTCTATATTTTCATCTGATATGTATATTAATGTATCATCTTCAAATATCTGAATTTTACAATAATCTAAGATATTACAAATGTCATTAATGTATAAAATAAATAGTATAGGACCCAGCTTACTACCTTGTGGTACACCAACAGAGATATTTTTTGACCTTGATAATTTAGATCCAATTTTGGTTTTTTGACTTCTGCCAATTAAGTAGTTTTCTGGAATTTTGAATACAGATCCTTTAAATCCGTAGTGATGCAATTTTGTAGGTAATTTATCCATGTCACTGTTACTGTATGTTTCCTATTGTCCATACATATTCTCCAGTCCTCTAAAACCATTTGTATTGCTGTTTCAGTTGAGTGTTTCTTCCTGAATCCCGCTTGAAATTTTTTTAAAATTTGATTTACCTCAATAAATTCGATGATCTGCTCGTAAATAATTTCTTCAAAGACTTTTTCAACACCTGACAGAATATTTATGGGCCGCATATTGGTGTACAACTCAGAATTCTTAAGTTTCGAAACAGGAGTTATGGTAGAACTCTTCAGTTTTGTTGAAAATTCGCCATATTTTGAACATAAATTTATCAGGATTAATATTCTTGCTCCAATAATCTCGAAACACTCATTAAGCACACTTTTAGACAAAATCTCACTATTATTTTGTTTTGATTTAATTTTTTATATGATCTTGAGGCGATTAATGTTTATTGTTCTAAACTCACGGAATGATGCATTATAATCTGATCTAATGGGATATTGGTTGGGATCCCCGTCAATAATTGATCGTTGACACTTTCTATGAAATAGGTATTCGTTCGATCTGCTATTATTTCTTCATTTGTTATTACGCCATCTTCGAACTTCATTTTAGATAATGTATTTCTTCTATTAGGAGAAACAATGTTTTTTAACGTTTTCTACATCTGTTTGCTATTATTTTTACTCTCATCAATTTTGGCATTGTAATATTTTTTCTTTTCATCTCGTAGAACTGTTACAGATTGGTTTTGCTGTTCTTTTTTATTCTAGCCAGTAATAATAAATTTTTTATAATTGTAGTCTCTTTTCAATATAGAATCCTTGAACGTCTGCGAGAATGAAGGTGTTGGATTTTTCCTTTTATAAATTGTTGTCTTGACTTTAGCTTCTTTCATGCAAACTTCAACAAATAATTCAACAATCATTTCAGTCACATCTTGTAGTAAAAGAGCACCTCGTAATTTTACATAGCAAATAGTAGTAATTTCTTCCACTTTGTTAGCATCAACTATACTTTCAACTTCAGAACATATCCATGAATGATCACTAATCTTAGTAGTATGCATAACTTTTGCAATTGAATTTTGTTCGTTCGTTATTATCAAATCTATAATTGTTTTTTATTGATTCGTAATTCTGGTGTGATCATAGACTTTTTGCCATATTCCATAAAAAATGAGTTCCTACTTAAATTTATTTGCGTAGAAATCTTCATTATCAACATTTATATTAAAATCACCCAAATGTACCGTGATGCAGTTTCGATAAAAATGTCTCTCGCAGATATTTTCGACAAAATCTATAAATCTGTTTATATGTCCAGTTGGAGATCTGTAGTAAATGTGTCAATTATAATTGTGCTTAACATTCAATTCAACATTGATACACCACCATTGATACTCAACAGCTACAATGTCATGTACTCTCGTTTCTATTTCACATACAATATATAATAATATACCACCTGTATGTCTGGAAATTGTGTTTGCTCTTACAATTTGATAGCCTTCAATTCCAATTTCTTCATCAATATCTGCAGAAGAATGTTATGGCGAGTGCCATGCAATCAGTATTTACTGTGATCTGTCAGTGTCATGGAATGTGATATTCATTGAGCATATAGCAGGACGTCAGTAATTATTGATGCATGTATAAGGTTACATAGAAATACACTGACACTAACAGAATGATCAGTAAATACTCGATCATTAGTTGGCCATCAATACATATAAGTAAACGATTCGAAGTTTTTATATGAACCAAGTAATGGACTTATGTTCCTTCTGCCTGAGATGCAAAATTCCATAAATATTTTAAATATGAAAGCCTTATCCGAGTTTTGCAAGGATCTATTCCAGTATCGTTCTGATTTAGTGCAGTTGGTGCTGGTGTTTTATTAGCCGCTTTGTTTTCGGATAGTTACATGTCAAGCCCGAAAAAAGTTGGCATGTCCAACTTGCAGAAGTTCGGATCAACTATTCACTCTTAAGTTTGTTTGCTTGAGTGCTTACCTTAAATTGTTTTAGATTTTACATTGTTTTTCATTTACTTTACATTTGCAGGCTAATAGATACTTCATTGCACAAAATGGTAGACCTTCTAGAGACGACTTCCATCACAGACATGCATGAAGCAATAGATTTCTTCATCAGCATGTACAAGTTTAACATCGACGGTGCGGATATTGGTATATCCAAGATGCTACAGTTAATGAGAAGAAACGAACAGGAGAGAAAGGATGCTGTTGTCAAGGCGTTCCAGACTATTTATCTCTACACAGAAACGCAAAATTTGGTAAGCTATATTGATCAAGCCACTCGAGTATGCCTATGAAATTTTAGATTTCAACATTACTAATTAATCTTATTGCGTAAAAACTTTTTCCACATATAAACAGCCTCAAATTCAGGGTTGAAATATTCGAATTCTTGAATAGGTAGTTGGAGCTTGTGATACAGCACCTCAATGGCGGGAGCTTGGACCGAAGACGGAAGGGTTCGAGAAACCTCGAATCACGAGATTTGCGGAAATTTCGCGTACCGACGGAGTAAAAATTCACATAATATGTGACGGCGAATTACTAAAGTGCTAAGGGAACGTGAAAATATAGTAATATAGACTTTTGGTTCATTATTTTCTGAACCAATTAAGTAATCTGAAATATCTTTTAACTAAAACTTATTACCAGTCTACATAATTGCATCAGATCTCAGATTCTGCAAAACAAATATTCAAGATATACACTGATGGTTCAAAAACGAAAAACGGAACAGGATGTGCAGTTCATATCCAGAACAATGTAAATCTACAGTATAGACTGAACGATTTATGCTCCGTATTCACTGCAGAGGTTTACGCTATAGAAGCTGCGTTGCAATGGTTGATGGAACAACCGCAACAGCATAATGCTTTAATAATGTCTGACTCTTCCTCAGCTCTAAGGGCAGTGAGCAATTTATCATTTCGTAGCTTTTCAAAATCAATCAGCATCTGTAAAATCAAAAAGTTCCTCTATGACTTAAACACAAGAGGTCAGATAATTCATTTTGTATGGGTAAAGGGTCATGCTGGGATAACCGGAAACATGGCTGTGGATATCTTAGCAAAGCAGGCAACCAATCTAACAAATTTTACCAATAACAAACTCGAATACTATGATGTAGTCAACGCTGGAAAGAAGGAAATAAGAAAAAAATGGGAAGTGCACTGGAATCATTTTGCTGAATTATCTAATAACCATTATTCATTCATCCATCCTACATTGCCTAAAAAAATACCACATATTTTTGAGTATAATGTAAATAGACATTATTCAGTCACCATCACTCGTTTGAAGCTAAACCATGGAAGATTTCCTGCTCATCTCAATAGGATAGGCATTCTGGATACTTGTGTATGCGATTGCGATAGTGCATCAATTGCAGATCTAAATCATATTATTTTTGCTTGTGGAAAATACAATCAAGAACGCATAGTTCTTATTGATATACTGAAATCCAAATATCAACTCCCCACCAATATAAGCTCCCTTTTAACCATAGGTGACAAGCAAATCCTAGATTGCTTGGTAAACTTCTTCCAAAGAATCAAAATGAACGTTTAGCTCACAATTAAACTTTAGATCAATAGCAACACACATCTGTGGCAAATGGATAACTTCCAATGCCAAACCGATCGACAAAAAAAAAAAAATATTCAAGATATAAAGAGTAGCCATGCGGTGCTTTTATGCCATTATGTTTTGGGTTTGAGCTTTATGTACGCCTATTAGTTTTCATCCAAAATTCATAATTATAGTTGAAATCGACCCATTTAACTCATTCTATTGTAAGAAGTAAAACGAATCAAATGGTTTCTTCATTTTAAGAATTGACCATTGGAAGGTATAATTTTGAAAATGTTTTATGGATTTGGGTGCTGCAAGTAGTAGTGATGTTACGAATGTCATTTTTTGAACATTCGCGAACGCGAATGCGAATATTTAGTTTTTTTTCTGGCGCCAATGGTCTATGGCAGTCTCGTTCGACCAAATGCGTTCCGTTTGTATTTGAAACTGAAGCCGAAGACACTCAAATAGATAAACGAGTATATCTGAAAGAATCGATGATGCGAGCAACAGAGAAGAGGTACCCTGTTCATCTTTTAATCCGTAAAACTGTCACATAATACTCAACAGAAAAACGCAAGGCAAATGACGTCGACCCTTTAACTTGGTGGAAAGTGAACAAGAAAAGATACAGTATTCTGTTTCCCGTAGTTTGGCATTATTTAGTTACACCACCAGTGTCCCGAGCAAGCGCATGTTTAGTGGCGCTGGACTTATTTACACACCAAAATAGACTTGAAGGAGACAAGGTGTCCAAGCTTTTATTTTTTAAGTTTAATATTCATCTACTGAAGTTTAATTATTAACTTAATCGTTATTTTTTAAGAGATAAGTATTTTTGTTTGAGAGTCTATATTTTTTTTTTGTTTTGTTTCTTTAGACTGTATTAATAGTTTACTGTATAAGAATATGGGTTGGGTTTGTATGTATAAGAATTTATTTTTGTTTGTTTACACTGCATTATATTTGTTTGTCTTATAAGATCTATGAAAATTTATTTGTTAGGCTTCATTGTCCAAAGTTAAGTAAATAAATAATTCCAAATGATTAAGTGAAGACTTACGAGGTGAACTTACTTTTTCTTGTATTAAAAAACATAAGAAATGAATGTATTTTGTTTTTATTAACCGACTATTATCTAATAATTGTATTTTTTTCTGATACTTATATTCGCAAAACATTCGCAGAAGTTTTGCGAATGCGAATGCGAATATGCAAAAATATGCGAATATTCGCGAATGCGAATATTTGTTACATCACTAATAATAGCTCTGCGAATAGGCAGCTGTGTTTAAATCCCCATTTAAAATGAAGTTGATTTGTTATTGTATCTTCAACAAAGTCGATAAGGATTTTACTTTTTATTATCTACGGGTCTGATAATAAAAAAATGAAATCCTTATCGACTATTCGCAGAGCTACTCGGAAAACATGACGAATTTAGGTTTATTTCAGAAAATACTTGTTTTCATCATTTTATGCAACATAATTTTGTTGAAGTTAGATATTCATAATGCACAAATTATTATTACGTGTATCTAATTTTAACAAGTTTCGATGCAATAATACATTAGAACCGAGGTCACAACTTATGAGAAACAATGCCATGGGCACAAAGTTCGTTATTCCACCACCTTATTATTATTGCTTCTTCTGAAGGTTGATAGGTGATAGGTGATAAAAGCCGAACATCAACTTTGGTAAAAAAATCCACCTTCGTCGGACCCTATAAATGATAGATAGTGGTTTATCAAATACAGCAAATAGTTTTATTGATCAACCAACTGTCCTTTGTATACCTCGCGACAGTGGTTTTGTAAAAATATATTTGTCAAAAAATTCCTCTTAGTAATCGAATTTGTGAATATGTAGTTTTAAGTATTTAATATTTATGATTGATCAGAATTGAGTTTTCAACTTAATTTCGAAAAACTAATTAATTTGTTCCAGATAACGCACTTTAGGAAAATATTTGTTGCTCTAGGTTTTTATTTTTGAAAAGTTGTTTTACAATACAATTATTCTGCGGCACTTATATTATTCTACTCGACTCTATAATCAATAGGCTACATTTATAACAAAACATAATTCTGAATAAACGAAAACAAGCAAGAATAAAAAACATGTTAAAAACATATGTAACGTTGATTCAAAAAACTATTAAGTACCTTGTAGTGATTTTTTTTTATAAAATTAAGAATGTATTGTTACCAAATGGTCTTGATAAGCTAACCTGCCTAAATTTCATTTGAAACTAGATGAAATTTTGATTTTCATTTGTATTCCGATAAACATATTTCCAATAAGGTATACGAGAATTTAACTTTCTTGGTACTACTCGAAGTCAGAAATATTTAAAAGCTTTAAAAAAATTATGAAATCCATGTATGACACTGAAGTCTGTCTTGAATTTGTATTTATATATAGACAAAACTACTTTGTATATGTTATACATGTACAAGTATCCATGTATTTCTTTCTATCTATGAGAGCACAATACATCCATCCTAGTACCACTGATGGCATGCTTTTTTCGTTTCAGGCTGATCATTGCCGCATTGTCTTAGCACGTCTACTCAAACTCCTGAGATCCATTCCAGTCACATGCTTGAATGATCTGCAAGAGATTGTTACTATGTGGTGTTCCAATGGTGTGCTAGATAACGCACTCATTGAATTGCTTTGGAGATATGCCTTGAAAACAGAAATGGTCACTGATGACGACTCCATTGCAGCTATTGAAATACTTAGGATGTGTGCTTTGGGAAGGTTTGTAATATAGTGAATAATATTTATATGATGTCCAGTGTCGATCGACAAATTAATGGTTTCAATCATTCAACAACAACTAAATTGTGACAGGTGACGTGCCACGTGAACTCACGAGCTATAACGTAAGCTCTCCATCCATTTTTCCAGTACTTTGTACTTATTTTTACGCTCGTGTGTTAAAAAAAATCTTATTTGTAATTTGTACATTGAAAGAGAACTCATTTAAATCCACTGGATTTAGCGCCGACAGAACAGATAATTGGAGTTATTTTTTATTTTAGATACTAATAGAACGTAACTATACACTTCATGTCAAATTGATCACGTCCAATGAATTCAGACTAGGTATAAGAGGCCAGTCAAGGATTTGTTTATCTCTTAATTCTCATAGTCTGTAGTGAGGATCAAAATTCACTCGACATGTCATTAAATTCCAGTATTAGCGTTATTTTTTTGAAAGTGCGAGTGTTTACAGATAATTGTGCTGTTGATGATTTCAAGACATTTTGCTTTTTACATAATTTGCAAAGAGGGTTTGTTTAAGATTTTCTTAGCATGATTGCTCCAATTACTGCAACTATTACATAACATCCAAATATTATTATGCTGTCCATGTTTCTTTTAAACATCCTTAAATTACAAGTAGTTGCATTATTTAGTTGGTTAAATTCAAGTAATCCCTTCTGAAATATTGATTTGCTAATTATATTACTATTGCAATTTTGTAAATGCAAGTCTATGTTTCCTCTTCTATAATAATTGTGGTAATGATTATGCAGTTCTATATGGTGTTCTAAATGTGGCAAATTTTCAATATGAAAAGAAGAAACAAATATATGAAATTTTTAATATTCAACCACTACAATTCTTGTAACATAGGTTTTATTTTGATGTACTTATTTTTATTCAATATTACTCTCATAGCTTTATTTTTTAGGACTTGTAATTTTCAGAATACAGCTTCATTCAAAAGTAATTTTTTTTTGTTACTTTTTGAAATAATGTATTCCTAGTGATCTTCAAACTTTAGTTTACTATCATTATATATACCCAAAATATTTAATTGATTAAACTTTTCCAATTATTTTACCATTTATCCAGTGATAGTATACTCATTTAGTATTTCCCTAGTAGCATAGATCTTGTTTTAGAAGCATTCAATTTTAGTTTATTTACATTTAAAAAAATTATGATTTTTACCAAGTCAAAATTTAGCACCTTTAAAGCAGTGACTATATTTTCATCTAAGTATATTAATGTATTATCTGCAAATGTATGAATTTTACAATAATCTAAAATATCACAAATGTCATTAATGTATAAAATAAACAGTAGTGGACCCAGCTTAATACCTTGCGGTAATTTTTCTGAGCTGAATAATGTAGATCTAATTTTGTTTTTTTACTTCTGGCAATGAAGTAGTTTTATAGAATTTTGAATACAGATCTAGTAATCTATCCCTGTCATTAGTTTCAAATTGCCCATGTGAAGTCCAAAAACACTCTCACTGTATGTTTCCTATTAACCATACATCTTTTTCAATCCTCCAAAACCAATTGCATTGCCATTTCAGTTTAGTGTTTCTTCCTAAATGCAGCTTGAAATTTGGTAATCATTTTATTTCCCTCGAAGAATGCGACGATCTGTTCGTAAATAATTTTTTCAAACACTTTTTAACATCTGGCAGAACATTTATTGCTGTACAACTCAGAATTCTTTACAGCAGTTATAGAACACTTCAATTTTGAAGTTCAACAGATAATAAACAGTTATTTATTAGGATTAATATTTTTGCTCCAATAATATAAACATATTCATTAAGCGCCCTTTTTGACACAATCTCTCTCACTCAAGTGACGTTTCTGTGAATCTAAAAAATAAAAATTTAAGGGATTTCCATATAAAATTTTAGGTTAGGAACAAGATATCGAGATGCGGTTTTCGCGAGCTTGTTTAGCCATCATTTTGCTACTTTTTCATAAATATTAACCATTTCTGTCGGAACATCGAAAAAAATCTCGCTAGCGGCCACATTTGAGACTAACAAAACTTCAAACATTTGTATCCCAAGAATAGCTCTTTTCAACTAGCTCAAGTTTGTTAAAATCGGCTCAACCGCTTCGAAGATACAGGGTGTTTTTTACGGAAACCTGTGAATACTCCCCAAAATGTTATTTTTAGATACAGTAAAAATTGTCGAACGAAAAAAGTTCACATTATCCTCGACTTTAAAGATCAGTTATTTTTTTGTTAGGTAAATTTGGAGGATTTTACAGAAACATCACTTTTTTAGATTCAAGATTGCAGTTACGTTTCAGGAAATATTTTCCAGGTTTTTCTCTTGTCTGTTTTAGTGAGAACTTTTTTGTCGCAAGCCTCTACCATGGATAGGTTCCCAGATACAGTACCTCGCATTCTAGATATATATAACATATTTTTTCATAACTTCACTTATTGTAGTCTTGTCTAGCTCCAAGATATCGTTGTTTCATTTCTTTAATCATCGCCACTTTTAGTATTGAATTAGAACTAACAATATTGTTTCTTTTCTTTGTGTCCTTAATCAGTTCTTCTTTACTCCTTTCTTCACTAAAACCGACGACCTAAATCATAGGTAATTTTTTACGACCCAGGTTGACTTTGTAATTTTGTCCAATGTTTTTTCCACTTCTATTTTCAATTTCTAGATACATTATTTAAAAAAAATAATTTTTCGGTGATTTTTGAGAGGCTGTATTTTGGTGAAAAATGATCGTATCTAGACTTAAAACAAGCATTTTGAAACTTTACGATTCTAGTTTTTAGGCTCTTTATTCGAAACATCTGAGTTAACCTAATTTATATGAAAAATTAGTTACTGAAAGAACATACATATATGTATAATAATATTCATGTGAAATAATGCAAATTGAAGATGATGATTCGAAAAACGTAAAAAGAGTCTTGACTGTTGATGTTAATTAACAAGAAGGTAGATCTTTAAATCAAGTTCAAAACACCTATTATTTAGAATGGTTTTTCCATATCAAAACATAATGCCTTAAGTTGTTTCGGCCCCTGATATGAGGAAAATGGCTGTCCGATTTGGGATGGTTATAACATTCGAATCCCTTATAGCTATGTTATGGACATTTGTCCTAAATAATTACTTATTTCTTAAATACGGCGGGAAAGTAACAAGAGCTTATTTTTTGTAATATCTGTGCATATTCTTGATGCAAGTAGTGATAATACACTCATTCATCATACCTGACATGTTGAAACATTCACACAGCTGCTTCTTCATATTTCCTGACAGTATGTTCCTATCATATAGAAAAAGAAGTGGAAACGAAGTGCATATATTTTTGAGGAAAATATTGATTTCTCGTTACAATACATTTTTTGTGTAAAATATCCAATTACTTTTGACAGCCTAAAAGGAAAAGAGGAGGAACCGGTATTTCTATATTCAAAGATACAAGTACTGCTTTGTGAATTCTTCTCTAACAACACTGTTGAGTCTTGAGTTGTTCAACAAGAATAGTTGCATGACGAGCAATATCGTATCTAAACGCCCTAAGCTATATGTATAACAAAAACAAAACCTAACTATATTATGCTTTTATAGAAAGACAATCATCCAGACCAACATGGAGGTAGTAGTCGACCTTGCATCTAGTCCTCGAGCTAAAGAGAACATGAAGCTACTTGGAGCATGCTGCGAACTTCTGGCAACCGCATTTGAACCGGTGGATATTATGGGTGATACAGGCCCGATGAAAATACCTGTCCAGGATTTCTTTTTCACTGGCTTGGTAAACACGCTGGTGGACAACTTCTTCAAAAAGATGCCCTTCTATCACAAAGCAATGCTGTCGGCTGTCGATTTTATATACAAAATGTGCGGGAAACCTGAGATGTTGTGCGAGGAACTGCTAGTTAGGATTGTTGACGAGTTGGTCAAGAGGAAGGCTCAGATGCCAAAAATACCGATATATCAGTTGATAAGGTAGTGCCATTAATGAAAGTTTTGAACCTAAATTTTTTCAGGCAGCTTAAGTTGTTTGCTTGCGGATAATTATATACTATCCAAAATTCCTATATATTATACAAATTGTAAACATCCATTGATCCTGGAAAGATTTCTGTACCTATATTTCATTCTATCATCACTACAATGCCTAAGACAGCATCAATTTTGTATTATCAATCGCTGTAAGGATATGTTTCCAGGCGTACCTGATGCATATACATGTATTGAGATTAGTTTTATAAATTCTATCTGACGTTCTATTCTGTTTTATAGTGAAAGAACCAATACATATAAATATACCCGAAATAAAAAAAATCAGGTGAGAGGACGACTATTCAAGTCGACATTGTAGGCTATTTTACTACTATCCATTTGAATTTTTAGATGACATTTACGCTACTGACATTTTCGATCGGTAGATGGCCTGACTTTCGTAATTCCTGAACAATTCTCACCGTTTCTAGCACCTCGTTATTTTTAAGTCGCCGACACATACAGTCATGCAATATTGCTGCTTAATACCCAAAATAACCATTTTTACCGATAACTGATAATGAGCGACGAAGCCCACTTCGGTATGAACGGATTTGATAATAAACAGAATTATCGTATCTGGGCATTAGAGAACCCTCGTGTCATCCATCAACGACCACAACGTTCTCGTCGAGTCACAGTTTGGTGCGGTGTTTGGTATGGAGGTGTCATTAGACCTTACTTTGAATTCTCATGCAGTCACTCGCGAGCGACACCGTGATTCGGTGCAAAACATTCTGGCTCCTCAAATCCATCAATTTAACCTGCAAATCATGTGGTTCCAGCAGGACGAAGCAACTTGTCACACAGCTAGGGAAACAATGAATCTCTTGCGAACAATATTTCCGGGACGTTACTTTCTCGATTTGGTGATGTCAACTGGCCACCAATGTCACCGGACTTAACGGCTCCTGACTTTTTTATGGGGATTTTTGAAAAATAGGGTTTATGCCAACAAGCAGCTGAAGAACAATAATACCGAAGCGATTGAAAATATTCCTCCCGAAATCTACCAAAAAGTGATGGAAAATGTAATCAAGAGGGCTCAGGTTTGCGCGGCTTCTAGAGGCGGACATTTGTCTGATATTATATCTGATACGTAATTTCTAAGTTTCAATAAAAGATTAAGATGAAAAAATGGACGTATTTTAATTCATTTCACAAATATTTAAGATACAAACTAGTCAGTCACATGCAGAACAGCACACACAAAACGATGTCTCTAGGAATTACAAGGCACTCCATTGTCAATTGTCTATTTGGGAATTTTGAAACTATCATCTGTTATCTATTGATACGATTTGAGTATCATGTTTAGCTGGAATACCTTGCACATTTAAAAGTAATGTTATATTCAAATGCCGTAAATGCACTAGCTTGTTAGAAATTATTTAAGTCGAACGAAAGGGTTCGACAAAAATATGTCATTTTTGGTTTGTTGATGATGATTCAAAGGGTACTATAAAAGTTTTGCAATATGACTTAACAAACGGAAGCAGGAGGCTGCATGTCACTACTTGTCGAGACATGTCTATGAGTACATAGTAGCCGCCAGCAGCACGTCTGTTGACTTAGTTGTTCATTCGTATTGACACTGCAAAGTGCTGACTAGGGCATCGTGGTCACGTAGTGAGATAAGGGCAGTTTTACTGTATAACTTTACACGTTGCTTAACCATAGACCAGTGCGTAGAAGAAATGACACTTGAATTAAAGAATGATTGTCCTCATCGTACGACTATATTCAGGTGGTACATGAGAATTCGAAAGGGGCAGTTTCACTCTGGACGACGCTGAGAGGGAAGGAAGGGCGCGAAAATCAGTACCAGAGGAAAACATTATTGCCGTGAAAAAAATGCTTGACGAAGACCGGAGAGTGACATACCAACAGATAGACCTTACCCCTTCATGCACAAGCAAATCATTCAATTCTGCATGACCATTTAAACTTCAATTCTGCATGACCGTTTACACGTAAGGAAACTTTGTTCTCTCTGGATACCGCACAGTCTGACGGAAGAGCAGAAGAGTCGTCGTACGACTTGGTGCCTATTATTACGATGTGCCGACGAAGGCTCAAAACAAACTTTGGGTCTTTGATGATGAGGACACACCCGTATCTGTCAGAAAATCCTGATCTGTTAAGAAAAAACTGATACACACAGAAGACAGTCACAGCTAAGTGGTACACGGAACAGTCCTCACCTGGTGCTCTCTGCGACTTTGTAAATGAATCTAAAAGGAACACGGTTTTATAGCGATTAGAACCTACTGAGGGCTTTGGACAACGAGTGTGTCGCACTCCCACGAAACTTGGCAGAGCTGGTTTAAGGACTGCTTTTGGCGGATCGAGAAGTGTATTGAATGTCGTGGAAATTACTTTGAACGACGTCAATAAATAAAGCTGTATTACAAAACTTGTATAGTACCCTTTTCGACGCAAGGTAACAATTAGATTTTCAGTGTAGTTTCACCTTCCATGATCTACATTATTTTTTCCACATAAGTATTGCCATGGTTTTGTATTTTTTGAAAACTTTTTATCCGTCATTTATCTTTTTAATAGACTGTGCCAGTTGTGTGGTTGTATAGCTATCAAACACCTGGTATTCATGGACAGCTCAGTATACAAGGAGCTTAAACGGCAGCAGAATGTGGTAGAGAAAAATAATGATAAAAAGAAGGAACAGAAAAAGAAAACCAAGAAAGGTGCCAGAAAGTCCGCTGTAAGTAAACAGAATATCAATAAATAGATTTTAGGGTACTCTTTTGTGTCTTTGTAATGTACATATACGCTTATCAGATTAGATGAGGCCGTTTGTAGTATGTACAACTGCCAAAAATTATAATAGTAAGATGTAATGGTCTCCAGAGAATATGAGTACTCTGCCAAAATCTGTCTTTCTCACGTTGCTAGATAAGCTTTGAGGCGACGTTTAGACATAGTCAGAAAATCAAGAAGGGTCATTAATTAGCTACTCAGAAAAATACTTTGCAACGTCTGGAAATATTCAAATATAAATACGGAAAATAATTTTATAATCTTACAAGAAATATTTAAAACGCCATTTTAGAAGAAAGGTATTTAACTACTCAAGTTAATTTTTTTGTCATTCTTACGATTAGGCCGCAGATTCGGCAAGCCGAGCGAGTGTAGCAAACGCGCTGAACACCTCCGTTGATGAGGATGGTGGCCTAGAGGGAGCTGTAGCCGAGGATACGGATGCTGATTTTATCCTGCACGTGCTTGAGAAGCTTACAGTTACCGGATCGGGAGTTTTGGCAGCAATAACACCCATTTTGGTGACTATTTGCGAGAAGCCAGGCGTCTTCGAAGATAACGACTTACAGGCGGCTGCTGTTACTGCCCTCATGAGGTGACAATATACTCATTCTATGACAATATACTTATCGTTCGATATGCAGGTGTTTCGAGATATAGACTACATGAACTGAAGCATAAGTTAATCTCCCATGCTTTTCTGCCCAATAAATGAACATATCTTCTTTACTGTAGTGAATGTTTCAATCACAAAGGTGATCTTCTTCAGTACAATGACATATATTTGATTTAGGGACAAGACATTTTCTCAACGTTTCATTAGACACTAGAAGCAATTTGACTTCCACATTTCGACTTGTCTGTGTCATTGTGACAATTCAGATGGCGTTTCGATCGTATCCTCAAAAACTCATTGATAATCCGGTAAAAGTACTTCTACTCTGCGTTTCTATATTCGTTGAAGTTTCAGTTAGAGGAGAAGTATGTTTGCCTACAAGGTGCTACTTTTCGCAAAACATCCATTGCATGTCATATTTGTTATGTATTGAGAGTTTTGGTAAATAAAAAAATTGCGTCAAGTAAGTTGACTCTGCACTTTCCACACAACGGTGTCATCAGTTCATAAACGATTATAATGTAACCCCTGAAAGTTATCCTGTGGTTTTCGTACTAGCAACATCGTGTGAAAATTTCATCAAAATCCGAGTGGTCCTCTCCAAGTTATAGAAGGGATTAGCGGACAGACAAACAGACATTCCGACGGAAATAAGTGGCATGGTTTATCGTGATGTAGATGTCATGTAACGCAAAAAAACATGTCTCATTTTCGCGATTACAATACTTTCTCATCAGTGGCGTGGGAAGTAAAATACTACATAATATGTCGATTAATTGATCTGGCTAGATTTTATTTTTAAAACACGTTCCTTATATGCTTTTCTTCCAGTTAAGGCTTTCAAGAATAAAAATACTATTTGTATATTTTGCGCTGTCCATACGTAGCGATTATTTTCACAACCTCAAAACGAGACGAAACCGAGTTACCATATGGTGGCCCTTGCTGAGAACATTGCCTTAGAAAATCAGATTAAACTGTATCGCTTCAAAACAAATCTGAAAAACTGTCCCACAGTTTATAGGTCAACCTAATAATTTGTTATTTGTTTTGCGATGATCTACGATAATTAACTGATTGGTTTTTTTCTATTTAGGTACATGTTAGTTTCCGGTAGGTTCTGTCAGCAGCATATCCGATTGATATTCACGATATTTGATCAGACGAAATATCCTAATGTGAAAACTAACATTTTACTTCACATCACTGATTTGCTGACAAGATACCCTAATCTTGTCGAGCCATGGACACCGAGATTGTTCAAGAATCTGAAAGACCCTGATGCAAACATACGACGTAGTGTGTTTTTCTTCATGTCCATGCTGATGTTGAAGGACGTTATCAGACCTCACAGGTATAACTTATTTTATTTTCTTCGTATACAGGGTGTTCCCGAATTGAAACTAGACTGTTTTTCACAAAAACGACCGATTATACCGAAATCAAACGGAATATCTTTTTTTATGCTAATAAATGAGGCTTACCAAACATTATTTTTGAGCCATTATTATACTGGGTATAAAAATTTCAGCAATATTGCATAAGGCCTCGTTCGTCCTTGGTGTTCTAAATGAGCTATTAGTAATTGCCAATTGGTTACTAAGCTGTGACAATTTCGTTGAATTTTACAGTGTCTTTCAAAAGTTGTGTTCAGCAGCTTCTCAAGTCTTACCTGTCTGTAAGACAGCAATTTATAGAATACAGGTCTACCGTCACCACAATTTTGCATGGAGCTCCTCAAGGATCCGTACTTGGAGCATTATTATTCTTGTTATATAACAATGACATACAAAATTGTCTCAGTAACGGCACTAGGAGCAAACTATTCCTGTATGCCGATGGCACTACTCTTCTTTCAACACACAGCACCTTAGAAAACCTAGACAATGAATCTTGAGCATGCAGGGGGGACATCCAAAACTGTTTTGTTATTATTATTGTCTCAGAAAACACTACTCACCAGTTATCATGCAGTAAAATGACTTGCGCCATTCTGGCATGGGGCCATTCTCCAAACATGCCTAGAGTATTTGGCCTACAGAGAAGATGTGCTAGATACATGTCAAATTTGAGGTACAAGGATCCTTGCAGGAATGATATCATTAAATTGAATATCATAACATTGCCTTGTGTATACATCTGTGCTTGCCTCATGCATGTTAAAACTCACTCTCACAATTATGTAACTCATCAAAATACTCATAATTACAAGACCAAAAACATAGATCAGTTGTGTCCAAATCGTCATCGCCTTTCCATAACTACCACGGTTTAAAATTCTAAAACCCTTTGCCGAATAAAATATAATCTCCCGATGTTGAACAATTTGGCAAAACTACGGAATGCTTCCTACTATTAGAAGCTTTTTTGATGCGAAGACTTTATAATTTTTTTTAACTAACTCTCTTTATTGTCCATCTAAATATCGACTTTGGTTTTATTAACTTTTTTTACCTTTTACTGCCACTTTGCCTTTCATGTCTTATTTACGTCTTGTTTGTTCTTTTTACTTTTTCATGTCATCCTTTAGGTGACTTGTACAAACACATTTATGAGTAATAGCACCAATAAACTATTATTATTATTATGATTATTTTGTCTGCCATAGGAGACGTTTCATAATTCCTAGTAACTCAAAAAACAATAGCAATGTTTTTAGGGTAAAAAGTAGGTCCAACAATAACACGAACATATGAACACAAGATTTTCGTTTGTTGTAGAGGTTTGTGAGTTGACGACTTTCCAAGTGACTTATTGATTTACTTCCTAAAATGTTTTTGCAATTAGATAATTTAGAAAAATTGGATCATAAATCGGCATCACGAAAACAAAAAACGAACAGGCAAGAATAAAACTGTGAAAATGAAACCATGTCCACATAAGCCAGGTGCCGCCATACAATTTACAATTTCAGAAATGAAAAAATGATACATCTGGAGTTAAAGAAGGGTCGATTCAAAATTCTGTACATGCATAAGCAATACAAAAATAAATACCTGTATGTTCTACGATACAGATTTTTCTGAAGCACTTGTTGCATTTTTAAACAAGGTATTGTCCGGATTATCCCTAACTTCCTCTTTTGAGAAGTTTTCAGTCCATTCCTGTTTGAGAAAAATTGTATTTATTTCAGATGAAACTTGCTTAAAAAACTTAAATCTATCCTCTTTTGAAAATATGAATAAATATAAAACTTATGGAAGTAATTCCACCTCACCATAGCTGTAATTGAAGGATAGTCATATCTTGTTCTTGATGAGTCTTATCACCGGAGTATAAATTTTCAACACCTTGTACCTTGATAGTGGTACATTTTAAAACCTATGTTTAAAAGAACTTTTATGTTATGCTTGGATGTACTTTCCGCTCTAGAAATATTTCTATAGTCACCCGATTCACATTCTTTGAAGTGCATATTATGTTTTTCTACCCTTGATGCTAAAAGTGAAATGTATTCTGGTTTCAGTCATATACCAGAAATGGCTACAGCATTCCTAGACGAAAATGAGGAAATCCGTAGCATGTGCCGAACATTCTTCACCAAACTTGCTCACAAGGAGAACAATCTTTACAACGCTTTACCTGATGTGTTCAATCATCTGTCCACGGTCGTGCAGGAAGACGCAAAAATGCTGGAGTTTATGAACTTTCTGTTCGAGCTCATTGATAATGCTAAACATCTAGAGAGTCTTGTTGACAGGTCAGTCATTAAAACTTCTCACAGAAAATAAAAGTTATATAAATGATAACATTATTGTATCTGTTTCATCTTCTATATGAGGCATGTGACCATAAAATGCTGTTTGCTGGTAATTTTGAGTCGATATTGCATGTTGAAAAAAATTTTTAACCTAGAAAAATAGATACAAGGATAGGATAGGACAAGCAACTGAGATTAGTTGATTTCGTCAAAACTAGGAGTCCGCGAGTCTTGCAGTTAAACCTCTCATTTCATTTATCGTTTTTCAGATTTTGTGGGCGATTCAAAGTTACCGAGGATCTACGTCAACAGAGGAACATAGCCAGTTGTTTAACATTCATCAAATACAACGATAGATCCTTCAAAAAGCTTATAGATAATTTTCCAAATTACCGCCACATCATTCAAGATGAAGAAATATACAACAGCTTCAAAGTCGTTATGCAGAATTTCTCGAAACAACAGGTAATTATAGGAAAAAAATAACATCAGTTTAAAATTCTGGACAGTTTCTATCTGTACAGTATATAAAATACATTTTATCTACGGCCATGCGGAAAAGAATACTTTATAAAATGGACTTTCGAGGTGTTAAGTCCCACTTTTCAGCCTACCAACTTCTTTATCCCCTGGGATAAAACGTAACTTTATCTGATGCTGTGTATAAATTAACCTTTCTTGAACAAATATTGCGGCCTCGGGAACTGCCTTTATTTGTCCGTTGCTAGATGACGGCACAATTATCGGTGACAATATTACACTCATTTTATTAACTTGCACTTGAAAGTGTTTATGTTCTCCCGTAAAGTAATTTTACCATTCGCTGTGTACAAATTAAACACTATATGGCAGCCAAGGGCACTATTATTATTTATTCGTCGCTAGGTGACGCGACGTTGCATCACCTATGACACTTCTTCTATCTTGGTGTCACCACCTATTTAATATCTATCACTATCACACCGATTACCATGGAGCCTGCAATTTTTTTTTTCAAATGGGTCAAATAAAAATGTATGGTTGTGTTCCCGAAGAAATCTACCTTGCCATATTAATTACATTATACATTGAATACAAAATAAACTTCACTTTGACGATGTTTCGAGTAAAAAACTCCAAAATACACCACACACGTTTTTTATTGCGCGACCTTTTCAAAATTATTGTTTCAATATGTCATAGTGGCAGTAACGGAAATCTTTGCAAACGGACTTTAGTCGGTCGTAGATAAAATATTTTATGTATCTCGGGTGTATTAACCATTTAGTGTCTCAAAGCATCTTAGACCCCACGGCGCTTAGTGCCTTAGGCTTTAATTTCACTCCGCGGGCCATAACCTCTCGCTCAACACTCTAGAAACATAACTATTAGTCTCAAAGAAGTATATCATTTCATGTCTTCATTAGTTTCTTCTAAATAATAACATATTTTTTCCCTAAACAAATTATATCTTATATATTCTTTCCGAAGAAAGTTACAGCTTATTTTTATCTTGCAATAGCCTGGTCCAGGAGCAGCAGGAGCGGCTCAAGCAGGTAAAGCAAACCACAAGCAGTTGGTTACAGAATTGGAGGATCTGATAAAATCGGTGTTTGAAATGGATGAAAATAATCAAATGCCTCCCCCGCCAGTTCCACGGCAGAAAAAGAAAAGGACTGGCGGACAAAGGAAAAAAAGGAAACAGAAGAGATCTACTGATTCATCTGATGAAGACAGTGATTAAAATTTTATACTATGATTATGTTGCTTACCTGAATGAAGTGGATGTGTGAGAATTTTTGAGTGCCTTATGAAGTGAGATTTTATATATTTTTAAGAGTGAGAAACATTAAAGTGGATTTTATATAAAATATTTCATTTCAAGTTTCCATTGTTCATACTGTGACCCCTTTACACTAGAGAGCTTTCAGGTAGGTGATTATTTTCAATATGCTGGGGTTGATCTCGATGCTCCGCCTCAATAAACTGACATTCAATTCAGTGGCGCTCCCAGGATTTCAGTCTGGGAGGGGTAAAATGGAAAGTAAATTCTCAGTGTGACGCATTGAAGTGTTATAATGATTTAACATTAAAAGCATGGACATATGCAGATATATCAATTTGATACAGTAATTTCTGTGGAATTTCTCAAAAAACAAAAACATATAAACTATGGAACTACATCAGTTCACAGTCTCAAAATAAAACAAACATTAGCTTAGAAAGTGATTTGAACAAATTTGAACAGACTTTTATATCAATCTGCTGGCCAATAAATAAAACCACATATCTTTATTATCGTTTAAACGTAAGTAAACCCTTAACTACATCTGCTTTTTCATTTATTGGCCAACAGAAGGGAGATGGATTTGAAAGACAACCTTAGTGTAAGAACACAGTGCACGCGAGATTCTCGCTTACCGGTAACCTGCGCCATCTCGCGTTTATCGCTTTAAGAATTATCACGTGTATTCATATGAACGTACACACAGTGAAAACAGGTTGCAGCAGGTCCGCGCGGATAACCTGCTCGCAGGCGCTCACGGTATTCAAAATTTAGTTTATTTCGGCTTTTGTCGCGCGAGTGAGTAGTATATTGTGATGGATAAAGAATTGCTTATTGCTGCGGTGTTTGAAAGAACAGCTATTTGGAACAAGAGGGATAAGCTACATAGCAATCGCAATGTGGTTGACAGATACTGGAAGGAAATAAGCATTGAAATAAAACAGGATGGTAAGTACCTAGGTGTATTTGTAGTAATATTATTTACATTATATTGCAGTATTATTTGAAAAGCTTAATCTAGGTTTTGTATGACAAAGTATTGTGAGCAAAATATGTTACAAAAATATCGCGAATATTTTTAGCGTCATTCAGAGGTCTTCCCGTCGCTTTTTTACCTGTAGTTTCTGTGCAATTTTCGACAGATTCTTCACTAAGATGTCTTTCGAAACCTTCCTTATCAATAATTGTGTTATGTAGAATGCAAATACATTTAATAATATTGTCAGCTGTCGTAATATTGGTTTCAATACATTTTGAAAGTATACGCCATTTTGCAGTGATTATACCAAATGTACATTCTATGGTTTTTCTAGCACGAGATAGGCGTTTATTAAAACATTCCTCCTCAATACTCACATTTCTTCCACCAAAAGGTTTCAAGAGGAAAGGCAGGAGTGGATATGCCTCGTCACTTATTAGTACAAAAGGCGCCTTGGTTTTTGTTTGCGGAAAATTGCATGGTTCCGGAATTGCTAGTGTGCCATTTTTTAATTGACGATATAGTTCGGAGGCCTGAAATGTACCGCCGTCACTTCGTTTACCGTAACCGCCAATTTCTACAACAATAAATTTGTAATTAGCGTCCGCTACGCCCTGTACAACAACAGAAAAATAGTGCTTATAGTTATAAAACATTGATCCTGAATTTTTAGGACAAACAATGCGAACGTGTTTGCCGTCAATGGTTCCAATACAGTGTGGAAAATTCCAAATATTATTAAATTCTTCTGATATCCTTTGAAAATCTTGTTTCTTCGGAGTTGGCATATGAAAAGGCTGTAGTACATCCCATATTATAGAAACTGTTTCTTGAACTATTTGTCCTACGGTTGAAGCGCCAAGTCTAAACGAAAATCCAATTTGTTTGAATGATGATCCAGTTGCTAGATATCTGTAATTAAATCAGGATAAAAGTCAAAAAAATACTCATGACTTCATTACAATTTAATTAACACGGGCTTAATTTTGTAAACTGTGATTGTGACTGTCATGAAGAAAGTTGTAGATACCTAGAAGTATTCTATTTTTATTTTTTAGAGGCCAAGATCAGAAAGCAATGGAAGTATTTGCGGGACCAGTTCTCCGTTGAATTAGGAAAACTCCCCCCGCCAAGGTCTGGAGACGCTGCCGAAGATCTTCCTACATCCAAATGGCCGTATTTCACACAACTTCTTATCCTGAAGGACGTGATCAAACCGAGGGCAGCCAGCGGCAATTTATCGATGATGCAGTCAGCTCAGTCCACACAGGAGACAGAAGAAATTCAATCTTCGAACGAGAATAGCGATAATGAAGAGTCTTCTCGAGAAAGTGAAGGTTGCGTGGTACCGCCTACTCCTATTTCAAGGAAAACGAATCCTACCTCAGCATCCATTACGGCACAGAGAAAAAGGAGAACTGCTACCGATGCATATCAAGAATCAATGCTGGAAATAGAAAAACGCAAAGTGGAATATCTCGAAAATAAGGCCAAAAGAGGTTGCAGTGATCAAGATGACGAGCATATGTCATTTTTCAAAAGTTTGCTTCCACATGTAAGGCAAATACCTGCAAACAGAATATTATGTTTCCGTTCCCGCGTGCAAGAATTAGTGGATCAATTTTCCTACCAACATAACACCTTTTCTCATCTGTCATCTTCTGCATCATCCCATTGTAGTGCGCCTTCTCCTTATAACATAGATCAGAATAGCTGCGCGCCTTCTCCCAACTATCATAACATACAAGAAACTACGCATTCGTCCATTCCCTTAAACCAACCATCAGTCATGTTTCAAAGTCTTCCCGCTACTGTTTCTAGGCTCCTTGATAATAACCAACAGCAAAATACAACTTATGTATCTTTATCATTACCAGAAAATGGTATCCATCCATGACTCAATATTATTGTACAACTGATAAAATCAATAAAACAATATTTGTAAGTATCTAACTGTTATTTCATTTTACGCTGCAATTGATTCAGGTTTAGAGAAAAGATTCGATCACGAGGCAGGAAATCGACCAAAAAACAAACGTATAAACAAACCCTCAGACTAAAACGATGTTTAAACTCACAAAACTCACAGTTCAAGTTAAGCCTGTGCAACAGAAATCTACAAATTGAACTAATTTTACGTCTAATCTCAAGTTAAGTAGAACTAGTGCTGGCGCAACAGGCCATTACTGAATGAGTATGATACTTTGAAAATGATTCTGATTATTTTTTCACGAGAAAACTTACCTTAAAGTTATAACAAGCCTTTCTTCTGGTAATATAGGTTGCTTATGCAGATTACACCAATTTTTGGTTAGACGATTCCCAACTTTCTCCAAAATATAATTGAATGTGTCCTGGCTCATTCTCATATACTGGAAGAATCTTTTATCATCTTTCTTCAAGCTTGGAAATAAATGATGGTATTCCCCATAAGTTATTCTTTCACGATTAATAGAATGTATTCCAACCCTTTTCCTTCTTACTTTGGTAGAAATCGACTCTAAAGCAATCAGATCATCATCAGAAGACGACATGTTGCTGCGAATAGATAAAGAACGCGACTAGCGAGTTTTTAAAATGATTTTCCTCGCTTTTACCGGCATCCACTCTGTGCTATCTCGGCGCGAGAAACAGGCGCCAATCTGCTTCGACTACCGGTAAGCGAGAATCTCGCGTGCACTGTGTGTTTACACTTAGGCAAAGTTCAGGTGTTATCATATTACAAAATTAAGGCGCCTATTCTTTTTGCTGGCGAACCGATCTATAATTGTATTCACGTCTATTTTAATATCCCTATGCATATACAAAAGAGCTAAACCCACTAATCATTCTTGTAACATAGTGGAGCGCAGCCAAGTTTTTATCCTCTTTAGATGGGAGACACTTCTTTCACATGTCGCAACACTTACCGGCAATGAAATCAATAACTGTAGGCATCTATTAATTGAAGGAAACATGTTTTCATAACATGATAAATACAGTGACATTCCACTGTCACTGGCTATAATGTCTTGTGTACGTGACTTCCAAAGGTCAAATTCTGCTTTTAATCTGGTACTTATCAAATTTTTGTTTTCGTTACTATTTAGTCCATGCAAATATTTAGAGATTGTTTCTAATATGTCCATTACTTCAGCTTCACTTTTTTTAATTAAATACTGACGCAAAGAGAATATCAAAATTGTGTATATTCAAAGATTTTTTATTGAACCGGTATACCAAATCCTGTAATTTATTATCTAGCAAAGGGACATATAGGTTCAGTCTGTAATGATTTTCCTTGTCAGACGTAACTATGTTCGGTCTGTTCATTTGTCTGCTTGTTACTCTTTGCACAGACAGTTCAATACCCAGGGTTTCATGCGATTTCATTATAGATGCGAATAGTATTTACTAAAGTGTTTTCCGGAATTTGCGCGTCTTTCTTGTGCAAATGAAATAATATTTCCTATGAGTTTGACAACGTATTGTTTGTCAATTGTTTTTGATTGTAAAATCTTACTCAGGTTGACTGTTAAAGCTAATATATCATACAAACAATTCAGTGATACGATAAATTGGGTGGAAGTAATGGCAGTCTTCAAAGACTCCGCTTTTGAAGAAGCTTCGCGGTCTTTCCAATTTGATATAATATTTAGTACCTCTACAATTTTCTCGAATTTGCTTTCAAATTGGAGCACAGAATCATATCTCTCGGTCCATCGTGTTTCGCACCTACTATGAATCTGATATCCGTCTAGTTTTCTTTTTAATACTGTATTTCTTTTAGCGGATGCTTTGAAGAACGCAATTACTTCCTTCATCATACCTACAGTATTTCTTACTGCTTGGACACTGCCGCTTTTTGAAATCGAAAGATTCAAGGCATGATTTGCGCATGGGCTTTTTAGAGCATTTAGCAAACATTTTTGCAATTCCATTACAGCGCCCTTTTGTTCACCTAACATTAGGTTACACGTATCAGTACCAATGCCCACACATAGTTTTGAGTCTAAGTTATTGGTTTTAACGAAATGCTTGACTGTTTGAGCAAGAATTTGACCTGTGAGTTTGGGCTCCATTGTATCTTCATCAAAATTTGAGTAGCAATCCACAAATCCC